TTGTATAAAATATAACGTATATAAATCTGATGGTATACAAATAAATACAAAGAAATATTGAGTGGTAAGTATTGTGATGTACACTAAAACAGTTCGCGAGGCATTCTCAAAAAAGGCCTTTCGAAAAAGAGTCAGCTATGATCTTCAAAATCAAAAATTTGCAGCAAATACAGCATTCCTCATAAAAGAAGCAATCACAAACGGATTTGCAATTGCAGATTATACATGTACCTGTGTAGATACCATTACATAGGGAATTCAACATGACTACCCGTCTATCTATATTACCATGAATGCAAACTTGGGCCCGTGTTTTTTTTAAGGCACATTCAATTCTAGTATTTAATGATCGCAGAGACTTTCACAAAATAAACATAAGGCATTTTCATTAATCTTGTCCATCATCACTTATTGAAATGTGTGATCATTACAATGAAATATTACATAATCTGAACATGGTTTCTATGGGCTATAGAAGGAACGTTGAAATTCTCATGAGTTGATTTGTCCAAAATCTTTGTGATGATATTTTAAGTACTAAAAAGTGAATTATATCATCTTAGATCAGGCTTATGTACAGAATCATGCATGATACTTGTGAAGCCAATGCAATTACTGATTACTTCACTTCAAAGTGCAGCAATGTTTAATACTCCATTCATATTTCAGAAGAAGAAAAAAATATACATACAAATACCTATAAAACATCATGTTGAAAATACTTTCCTACAGATAGTACATTACATAAAAAGTTATGCAAAACAAAGCATCATTACAATAGCAATAGGAATAGCAAATATTTTACTTCATAAACATCATTTAACCCATTATCTACTGGAACTTTAGTGAAAATCAGTACGGGACTACAGGTTATTGCATAGGCTTGAATGCGCTGAACATAATGTAAACTCATAGTAGACATACATGAATGTGCAACATAGCACTTTAACAGCGGCAAGGGTATTTCAAGCCAATATGATATCTTAGAAATGTTAGTATGTACATCAAGGCTCTAACAATGGGGAACTTTGGCTATGCAACCATTGCACTCTAATATATATCTCATGTATATCATTTGAACAATGCAGTCCTCAATTGAGAAGCATATAATTTGCATCTCATGACGTACCAAATAGCTCATCAGCGAGATAAATTTGACCAGCTTCCTGTAGAACATCCTTCAAGGCTTCACACACTTTGCCCTTGGGTTGCTTTTGTCTCCAGTCTCGGAGCATTGATAGTGTCACCATGTATGATGAATCTTTATTATCGTTGACATAATGTTGGATGTCTCCTGGTTGAAGGTCAAGAGCCTTCCCGAGATTATCTATATCAACACGCGTGGCAACTTTTCGAGCAACAGTGGTCAGCCGTTTTTCAAAGTCGTCCTGTTTACCTGAACGGTTCCTTAAATGAATCATACAAAAAGGAATTTCAGTATGTATCTAATTACATGTAGTCAATGGCTGCGTGTATACTTAAGCAAAAGATCGTTCCCGGACCCTAATTTGCTTGAAGGGGTTAATGCAACAGATATGGAATACTCCCCAGGGAGTAGAGAGGGTGCACATTGTGCGTGAATGAATCTGATAACCTGAGTAATATCTCTAAAGCGCTTAGAATTTGTGTCGTTGTTGATTAAGCTCTACTTATAAACAGATTATTATAATTGTTACATTCTTTTCCCCAAATTCTTATTAACGTGTCATTTTATGATTCTGATTTTTGATATGATATCACATGCACCATTTATAGCAACAGTGAAATTCAATTATTTATTTGCGAGCGAGCCTCAGAATGGTTTTAATTTATAGCATACTGACATCATTCAAATATCTCTATTGGGATTTAGTTATAAGATATGTGAGCCCAGTTTCCCCTTCTCTTCATTTATTGAAGTTTTGTATTCGATTGCAAACTTACATTGCAAAGTTGAATATACAATGCAGGTCTACCAGTGATTGTCCTGTCTGACCTACTTGCAGGATCACTATTATTTTGTCATCCGGCTGGCTGCTCAGATCCAAGTTAAAGGACTTTGTCCACTGGTGTCCTATCTGCAATTCGTCATACTTGACAGTCTGCGAAATAAAGAGCAAAGATCAATTACCAAAAAGTTTTTTTTTTTTTAATATATATAAATAAAATTGTATAAAAAGGTACATGTGTTGAATTTATTTGCTGTTGCTAAATAAATCAAATCAAAACACACCAAATCATACCGAATCAAACATGTGATCAATTGGTGACAATCTTTTGAACTATTTATGTGTAGGACTAGCATGATGAAACGATGGAGATTTTAAAACGATGCATGTATCAAGCTTGGCTTGAAGGACTGTAGATGCAGTCAAATGTGCCCCTACACTTTACCTAGCGAGGATCTCTATGAATTGACATTCAAATAAACATCAGTTGGGAGAAACAATTTAAATTAGTGTTTGGGTCATTAGTGATAGTCTCATTTGTTTTTTATGATTGAAAATTAAGAGAATAATTCAAGTGGTCTGCTGTTTATCACTGAAAGATTGCCATATTCTTTATCATCTTATACTCTACTCACACGGAGACTGGTATCAGTACAACTAGAGACCAAACAAAATATCACATTACCCGAAATGTATTTGGTCTGGAGTCAGTTTGGTAGTGCGACTGAGGTTGTGCAACTTAGGATTCACACATAAATACCTAACTCACAGTGCCACACAGAAGATTACCAATGCTTTGATTCTATCTCTTCTTGATTTTGGAAATTAAATTTGCCACACCCTCAAATTTTACAATTACAACATAGCACAACTGTCCTGTCTGTGTAGTGACTATCTTCAAGAAACACAGTCACACCACACCTGGTCCACTAGTTCTCAAAGCTTCTATTTGAAAAAAAAAGACCTTCGGGTTAAAGTTATTGAGCTAATCTTGTTCTTTTCCTAGTATCCTTGTGACTCTTCTGAAACCCTTACTGTTGTTCTGTATTCACTGTTTTCTTCCTTTTGTCTTTGTTGAATAAAATAAAATAAACGCAATACATTGGTTGCCAATAGGTCAGCGCATTGCTTTCACAATTCTTTTGATTTTATTCCATTGTGTCCATTACTCTGCGACACAGTACAATATATACTTTGATAAATCATTACATTCCTTAAACATCTTTACGCTCTCAAAACTCTGGATTTCTCCTATTTCCCCAGTTAATTACAAGAAGGTGGGGGGGGGGGGGGGGGGAATTCGCTCATGCGGGGCCTTTGTTGTTGAAAGCTCTCCATCGAGGGATTAGAAATTGCAGACAAAGTAAAGAGTTCAAAAACAATCTATACAAAGTCTGTTTGATTTAGCTTCTTTCTTCTTTCTGATATGTTGTTTCTTACTCGTTGGTGATTTTGTTAAGAGATATGAACTTTGTTTTATCTTATGCACTAGTGCGTCTTGAGCATTTGATTTGAAGTGACTTTGGTGCCTTACTAATCTGATTTTATTATTATCTTATTATTATTATTATTTTCTTTTTTTTTGCTATTGCTATTGCTATCACTATTATTAATATTATTTTTGTTTTCACTATCATTATTATAAAGGAGAACTTACATGTACGGTACCTCCAATTGGATCATCCTTTATGAAACAAGTCATTCTGACGTCCACTTCTGCCACTCTGATAAGAACCTCTGCTTCAGGATGAATACAAGCTAAACCTATGCCTTCCTCCTGGGACACTATCTGTCACAAAATGATTCAACAAAATACAAATAATAGCTAATTAAAATTCAAGGGGACACTACCTAGTTTTCATTTGCAAAGTTTCTATGTTCTGTTACCTTTTGATCAGAAACTGGTATAAATGCATGCAAATATACAGTTAACTGACTTTTCATATTCATTTCCTCCAAGAGCCCATAGCAAAGTACTATTTGATTCACCTATCAAATATAAACAATTCTGTACGGGTTGATTCCACCTACATACATGCACTGTTCATATGTCAGGCAACCATCTGTCAAAGCTTTCTAATCATCAAGAGTAAATGTACAAGTGGTCTATTCCACAGGTAATCAAACAACGAGCACGAGTGCATGTGGCACACTATTTATCAGCAAACTGGGTGGTGACTTTGTGATGGGGTTTGAAATACAATTGAGATTAGAATATACTTTTTTTGGTGGACAGTTGCTAAAATCGATTTTGATTTATCATTATTGATTTACCAATAGAAGCCATCGGATTACACACATCATCGTTAGGTTCTAATAATAGTTTTCAAGAGAATGTTAGTCCTGACATAGATGAAAAATAATTGTAGGATTTGTATTTGTCTCATACTTCTATGAATAATACAGTGGTGTCTCCCACATGGTAGGGAGTTTCTTTTTTCTCTTTTTTTTGGTTGAAATTGCACAACTTGCATACATGTATTAGATTTGTTGGCATCAACAAAATGTATTTGCATCAACATAGTACAGTTAACTTATTATTCTTTTTACTCTGCCAAAGACATTTAGATAATATTCTTGCCTTCATATAGATCCCTTTGATGTCATCATACAGATGTGCACGTAAGACGACAGGATTTTTTTCCTCCGGTAGTGGCTTTTCTGCAAATGGCAGGCAACGCATTCGCTTCCCTCCAAAGAAGACAGTCAACTTGAATTTGATGAATGCCCAAGAGAAGTGATTCATCTGCAATCTAAGTGTATCTCTCTCTATGTTGCAGTTAGGTATTCCAGACTGTGTTAATGGAATTTGTTCCTTTACTTCTGCATCTAATATGAACATATATGTAAGCAACTCAGTTTATTTATTTATATGCATGGCACGTACCAAGAATAATGCCATCATTCAAATTGAGCTATCTATTGTATGCATAATGTTGATATTAGAACCTACAGTAATTTTTTGGCTATTATACAATTTTCCTTACATTCATATGGGAGGTACAAGAAAGGCTATGTAATTCATGCAATTAATCAATATTGTAAAAATATAATAGGGTGCATGAAAAACCTTCATTCAACGCAGGGTAGTCTCATCATCATGTTCTCCCTGAAAGACCCTGCAATCAAATTATTACATGGGTTTAATCTAAGATATATATGCCTTCCCATGTCATCCTTAATTCAGTACATGTATGTCAGTATAACTAAGCAAGCTAAAGACGAACCAGAACATGTAACTTTTTGCAAAAGTAAAGGTAATAAAAGCTATCATCAAAATGCTGTGATTTACTTTGGGAAGATAACCCCTATATTTGGAAAACTTGAAAGGTTTACAATTTTATGGTTAACACATATAGCAGTGAAGTGTCATTTTAGTGATGTTTTATTTTCATCTTTTGATCCACAATAATTACAAATTTAATACACAAGAGCAGAAAGAGCAAAAATAACAGAAATGTTAAAGTATATTTTCCATGCAGAACATTGTTCAGTGTTTTTTTTTTATAGAAGCGATTTAAATGTAACTAATAATTAAAGTCTCTAAATTGGCTACGTGGTGTAGAATATATAATAACTATTTTTATGTACAAACTGAGAATTTTGTTGGTGTTTTCTTTTTATTTATTTTAAAATGGCTCATTATATATACATTTTCATATTTTTTCAAACTGTGAAGAATTGGAATTTGTTTCGTTAGTGTTGCCGATTTGAGAAGGAAAACATATGAATTTAGAAAATAAGAAATCTATAAATTGCTATAGGTTAAACAGCTTAAGTTGACATATTTGCAACTGTGCAGGAGATACTTTTATGACTTACTATCTTTGTTTTCTTCATTTTTACAACTAAACTTAAATATTCCCTGGCTAGTCAAGTATACATGTATCTTTAGATGACAAATTTATTTTTTACTGTAGCACAAATTCAAAACTGGCGTAAGAAATAGTGTGCATAATTAGACATGTTAAGATGTACTTACCAGGTGAGTATTCTCCCTGTCCTGTGTACAAGACTGCCTCCACACTGGAGTATCGTGCAATCACAGCACAGTGAGGTATTGTGTAAGTCACCGGTAACTGAAGGACTAAGTCATCAGGGGCTAAACACTGTACACCAAAGCAGACTGACATCTCTTCTTTGCTGTTGCCAAGATTTGAAGTATCTGTCAGGACACAAAGAGAAATTTCCTGCGGCGCTTCGCAGTCAATTGCACCGGGAGGGATCTCAAGTTCAATTCCGAAGGAATCTAGCTGAAGTTTGTCACCTTCAACTCCAACTCTCTTACAACATTCCATCTTGATTGGTTTGACATTTACTTCATCTGGTATGAAAATCATAAGAGATATTTCCATTAAATCCTTTCTGCAAACCCTCTGCAAACAATAGAATACATAATACGTAATTCCAGCAAATATTAAATATAGGTTATAGAGCACTGAAGAGCAATGTCACTCTGAAGTATCCTTTTCATGTCAGTTATCTTTTAAGAGGCGTCTTTTCCAATTTCTTCTTTAAAACTGTTGCTTAGTTTAGATTCTACGTTGTGGAAAGATATATGAATTTAGATATATACAATCTTTGAGATTTAGCAATTTACATGAATGATATTATTTTCAACTTAGGATTTAGAACAATTACTTTCTATCGATCTGTCATGAATATTGTTGTATTACAATGAAATAATAAAAGAAAAGAAAAATATTGTAATCTACCGTTTTTCTGTCTTTTGCCGAACAATACAAAACGTGCTACTTGCTAGAACCACGCAGACATCTCTAAGACACATCTCTGTTGGATAGTGTTGTATGTTTTTACAGAGATTACGCCATCCGGCATCCACATGTGTATGTGTGTATACATGAGCTTGTACTACTCTCGCTCTCATGTCATCGAATCATTAATACATTAAGCATCAACCGGTAAAAAGTTTTCAAATACTTTATTCTTTGTTTTGTGTCCCAGCCATGCCTGTGAATTAAATGGACATGAAACAACAGACATCTCCAGGGAGACATTGATTTTATTTCCTTATTCTCCAAAATTAATTTCTGCTGATATTGTTCAAAGCACAGCATTAACCTGTTTCATGGGGCAGGCTTTCCATGGCCATGTGATCCTCTTCTTCCTCCTCCTTTCCTTCTTCCCCAGTGTTCTGGGTGTCCGTCTGTTCTTCGTGAACTTGGACCCTTGCTGTGGCTCCAACAAGCTTGTCTGTCAGATACAATCAGTCAATAACGGATTCAGAAAATAGATCCTTTTCATTTAGGCTACTAATATAATGATTACAAATTCTATTTTCTTATGAAACAAGTAGGAACTTAAAAAGTACACACAATGCATAATTTATATACGGATGTGAGATCTGTATTTCAAACTTTGATTTGTGACAAAAATCTTCAAAGTTTATGAATGAATTATGGTATTTCCGACAACTATTTCAATATTCATTTGTACAAATATTGCTTGTCTCACCCTAACTATAGGTTCATTGACATATGCCAAGGTCTATTGCAGTGGCTTTTTTGTGTGTACCAACCTGCTGGGTGTTTGGTTATCTGGACAGATAATCAAACACTTATTCTTTCCATATTTCATGATTGACTAAAAACGTATATGTTGACAATATTATAAATGGCAAATATTCACAGGATAATGATGTGTAATACTGGAGACTTGCTTTTTGTGAATTCAATTAAATCAAGCTCCATCTTGTTATAGGGAAATCCAACCTTAAGAGCAAACAACTCTAGAAGAAAGCAGAAAAATCAGAGAAGCAAACTGGAGAAGGTTTGAACAAAATTGAACCAAAATAATTAGAAAATTATAATTTAAAAAAAGTTGTAATCCTTATGGGTATAGGCTCTTCAAGTTGGCTGAGTCAGTAAAGTATCTGTGATGTAGTGGCGGACAATGTCTCATACATGTAAGTGTTAACCCCGACTACGTCACAGATTATTGCTGTTTGGTATAAAACCAGTTAGCCCGTCTACTATCCACATGGTCTGATTATAATTCGTCTACTATCTGATTTTGTTATTAATGATTAAATGATAATTAGATCATATGAAAAGTAAACGAAATTGGCATTAGACAAACTGGGTATTACACTAAATGACAATAGACCAAATGGGTAGTGGACTTATAAGAGATTAGACGAAATGCTTATGATACCATGTGGATAGTAGACGGGCTGGGTGTAGACAAAACAGCAATTCACCCCACTTCACAATCCACTTCACAATCTTGACCGGAGTGTTGGCTCAGTCAGTAGAGCGTCCGCCTCACAACCGGGAGGTCGTGGGTTCGAACCCCGGCCGTGTCATACCAAAAGACGTTAAAAGGTGGGAGTTGTTGCTACCTTGTTTTGCGTTCAACAATAAGGGATAGAGCAACGTCGATCTGGCGCTGCTCAGTGGCTGCCGGGCTCACGATCAATTGGGCGAAAAGAATTTCCGTTTCGGTTTAATAAAATTTGGAGTGGACTTTTAGATTATTATTATTATTATTATTATCATTATTGTTATTATTATTATTATCCTTATTATTATCCACTCACCGAACTGCAAATTTGAAATTCGCACATAGACTTAGTAATCTCATATTTCAAACATTCCTAATTTTCTTATTTCTCAAATTTATTTTAAACTATTGCCACTATGTTCATTTTATTTTTCTGCATTCATACAAATGAACATATTACAAGGGTTGCATGGATTGCCCTTTTGCGACTGAACACCTTACTGCCCAACTAGGGTCCAATGGGCACAAATTTATCTAAGTGTTTTAAGGCACAAACCTGTGAAGCGCAGATGAAACAGAAAAAAAGTGGTAAACCACTGCAGCATACCCCTTTATATGTGAACAAGCCTAATATTCATAAGGCTCTGTAAGTACAAACGAACAAACATGAATATTAATCTAAATAAACTCACCTATTGAAGAAGTTGGGGAGGGTGGGGAGGATGGGGAGGTCTTCCTCTCTGGCTTGAAAGGCATCCCTGCACCCTGTTTAGAGTCTTCTTGTGATGCTTGACTTTCAGGTTCAACTGTGACCTTTACATTAGGAAACATCTCTGAAAGTTTGTGGATGTCAGTTTGAGACAACAGGCATTTCACATTTGAGAACTTGAGTTCTCGAAGCGAACTCTCTTCTCCTGTACTCTGCGGTGGATGACCGATATTCTGAGGAATGTCAACATCGCACCTGTCAAATGTCAGGACAGTAACTCCTTTGAGTTCATTTGACACAAGATGCATTAGGTCAGCCATGGGTACAGCTGCTGATGCACCTTCAATTTGTAGCTTACAACCTGAAGATGTTTGGGACGACTTAACAGAGGTAAGTTCTGCATCTCCTAGCTGAACCTTCTTTGCCTCAACAAACTTAAAACTTGGACTTATGACATGAAATACATGAAGTACATTCATTAATGTCTCAAATCTGCAGTGATCATCCGTCCCAAATGGTTCAAGATGGATGTTGGTCAGATGTGGCATCTTGCATGATGTAATTTCTTTGCCCGACTTGTTCGATAGACATCTTCCAAAGCCTGATAACACCAGTGATACGATATTTGGACAGGAGGTAGAAATATCCATTAACAGGCTGTCTGTAGTTATATCATACCTCCCCTCATATCTTAATTTAAGCTCCTCTAAGGCTGATGATGAATAGACCTCATGAGAGTATGCTTTATCGGATGGAGGACTTAGACTCACTATTTTCATATCTAGACTCTTTGCATTTGGAAACCAATTACTGACCTCCAATAGTGGCTTCTGGAGTGTTTTAAGCCACATCAGGGACTTAATGCAAACTGTGATGACAGATTTCATAGGCACAGGGATAGGCATAGGCATGGGGGTCAATGGAAGTAGACATATCATGTGGAAATCAATGGAGAAATGCATCCCTTTCGGACACAATGGAGCCAGTATGGAGATGACATCTTGGAGGGAATGGTCATCCGTTAGTAAAAGATGAGTTTCATCACCGGTGCTCATCCACTTGATTACATGTAGCTCCAGTCCAGCATCACCCCTCATAACAGTGTCCAGCCCAGTTCTTTTGGCTGAATAAAAAAAGACAAATAAACAACCCATTTGTGTGGCCTCTCCCGGCCTATTCACATAAAAGTACACTAAACAGCATTATATAATATAAAATATAAAATAATATAAAATCTTTCGGTGAGGTATCGATATAAAAATGAATAACACCATCATATAAACTATCTAGCATATCCTTCTAGTTGATAAACACCCTTCATTCCATATAAAATGTTTACAAAAATGCTAACCTTCATTTTTAAAGGTAATTTGGAAAGACTATTTCAACAAGCACTATGAGAAATTAAATCTAAAATGGGGGGGGGGGGGGGGGGGGTGTTCAGATCAGTAGGCCTACTGTAAGAGTTAAAAGACCCCTTAAAATAGTTTCTTTTCTTTTTATTTTTTTCCTGATCACAATAATGTCTCCATCAAGCACATGTGGTAAATTAAAAGACTTTATCAAATCTATCCAGATATTTTACTGAATTACTGAATGTTGTAGATTGACACTACATGTACTTTGTATGTACATGTAGATACCACATAGGGAATAATAGGAATTAAGTAACTCTGTGACTTGATGGCATCATGATAGCTTTAGTCATGCTATACAGTCTAGTAACTATAATTATAATTATAATAATAATAATAATTATTGAAATAATAATAATAACAACAATGTTAATAATAATGATAATAATAATAAAACAAATCATCATAACAATAGCTATAACTATATATATACATATGTATATCCATTTCAGGGAATGCTCAATGTGCCTAAAAAGTACTATCAGTACCTTGGTGTTAACTCAAGCTCCTCTAAGGCATTGGAGCAAAAAATAACTTCCTGTAGGGTTTTCATTTATCACAAGTGGCAAGTGGCAAGTGGCAAATTTTTAGATTAATGTCTTTCAAAAGCACATTCGTGCGACGACCAAAGTTTGATCCCTAAACCATGCAAGCCACATCTACTACCGGTCTACCACAACACCTCTACTATGATGATAAGGCAAACAAATATATGTGTATGTCTTCATATTGAACATTCGTAATTGCTACAGGTACACAAAGGCTGGCATATTTTTATTCTAAATGTCCTAGCTACTGCCTACCTGTACCATTGAGTGCACATTCATCCTCAAATTAGCCGCCTTTACATGAACTAATTCAACATTTAATTCACATGTACTCCTTTATTCAATGTCTGACGGGAGATGAAAGTGGATAAAGTCTTTACCAAATGCTTGAAAAAGCACTTAAGATATTTTCAGGCAAAAAAATGTTATTTTTTGCGTGTTCTAAGAAGAAATTCCTTTCATTTGTACTTTAATTTTTTTTGGAAACCCAATTGGGAGAAAAGGGGAAAATACCTTTACCTTAAATAAAGAATCTTTTATTCATATGATTAGCTTGACGCCCAACAAATGTTATTAGATGATTTTAAAGCCATAACATTGCAATACATGGTACATTTATTGCTTTTAAAGGGTTTCAACACCATGATTTTTTGCGTAATGATTTTGAATCTTATCTGATATCTTTTCACCAACCTTCTCTTCCAAGCCTGAAAGGTGTTTCGCTGTATACATCACACACAGTCAGTCTTCGAGTGTGAAGTAGAACTCCTTCCAACTCCTTTGATTATGAAATGTAATAGGAAAACAAGAAAAGGTCTCATTATATATTGCTTACTTTACATAGAGCCTACACACATTATGATGTGAATTTACAATATAATAACATCATTATTTTTTCAACTTTCTCTTGGATTATTCCAAGGCAGATGGGCTAGAACAGCGTTTTTCAACCAAAATCAAAGCAAAATGGAGAAAAAGGACCTAAATGATTTTAATTTAAAGCGTAGATACCCGCCGTGTACAATTTATTAGCCACGACTCTCCTAAATGGGTTCATCACATCATATAGCATATGTTTAAATATATGAGTAGGTAGAATACATGAATTTTCACACAAATGCATTTCCTATTTGAAATAGGAGATACATTTCCTATTGGAATTTTATGAATAACTTCAGGGCTCCCGGGGGCCTTCAGGTGCCCCAAAATAATTTAATATTGGTTTACTTGACACTTATCTTTAGTATAGCACACTTCTAAATGTCTTTAGAAAGAAAATCATCTGACTATAGTCTGCTGTTCTTAAGATTTTATGTTAAATTTGGGCCTTTATAATCAAATTGTGGGTACCCAAGACATATTTGGCCATTGCAACCTCATCCCTCAATGTACCATTGCATTTTGATATGGAAACAGAGATTTACTGTGCACCCATTACCTCAGAAAATAGTTTCTCTACTCTACCGTTAGGAAAACGCAACATTTGATTTTGATTTCCAATCATAAATATCTTGATAATCAGACAGGCAATTGGCTTGTAAAAGTCATGGGCTTCCTGACTGGCCTAAAGGTTGACGATTATTATTGCAGCATGAGCTAAATCCAGGATTTTGTTTCAGATTCTGAAACAAAGTTACTTGATCCCTTTAATTTGCCACATAGTTCAGACTTAGGAAGAAACAAAACATCTTAAAAAAGCTATTACATGGACTCAGGGGCGTCGCTAGAACTTTTTCATTTGGGGGGGGGGGGGGTGTAGAGGCCAACGATTACCGACAAAACTAGCCACCAATTACCGACAAAATTAAATGTCCAATATTTACAGATTCAACCCTATAAACCTAGGGCCAAAGGCTAAATTGTTTTTCCTATGGACTATCTATGGTACTTGCATATGCGCAAAATGGTAATTTTCCTCGACCACATAAATATACGAATTATTTATTCAATTTAGTCAGCATCATAGCTATATATTTTAATGCAGGCGCGGAGCTAGGAACTTATTTTAGGGAGGGGCGGTATTGAGCAAGAGAATCACTTAAAAGCGCGCTCATTAGGGGGTGTGGGTGATGGACCTCCCGCGCGAAGCGCGGAAGCTTAGACGTTTCCTTTAATTATTAGGAAAAGAAGACGATTAAATGTACCGTTTTCGACTATTATTCCTTGACTGAATGAAGTTTCCCCCTCCCCCTCCCGCGCAGAGCGCGAAAACTTTGACCTTTCATTAAATTATTATAAAAAAGAAGACATTTTGCTGTACCGTTCTCGACTGTTTATCCTTGTCTGAATTCAGCTCCCCCCCCCTCCCGCGCAAAGCGCGGAAGCTTTGTCGTTTCATTAAATTATGAGAAAAAGCAGACGATTCGGTGTACTGTTCTCGACTCTTAATCCTTGTCTGAATTCAGTTTCTCCCCCTCCCGCGCAAAGCGCGGGAGCTTTGACGTTTCATTAAATTATTAGAGAAAGAAGACGATTCGTCGTACCGTTTTCGACTCTTAATAAGCCCTATTCATCTGAATTCAGTTTACCCCTCTCGCGCGAAGCGTGAAAGCTTTGACGTTTCCTCATATTGTTAGAGAAAGAACACAATTCGTTGTACCGTTTTCGACTCTTAATAAGCCCTATTAATTTTGTCTGAATTAATTTTTCCCCTCTCACGCGAAGCGCGGAAGCTTTGACGTTTCCTTAAATTATTAGAGAAAGAAGACGATTCGTTGTACCGATCTCGACTCGTCTAAATGAAGTTTTCTCCTTCCGCGCAAAGCGCGGAATTTTTGGCGTTTCATCACAATATACGGAAAGGAAGACGATTCCTCGTACCTTTTTCGAATCTTTTTAAGCCCTATTCATCTGAATTCAGTTTCCCCCTCTCGCGCGAAGCGCGAAAGCTTTGACGTTTCCTCAAATTATTAGAGAAAGAACACGATTCGTTGTACCGTTTTCGACTTTTAATAAGCCCTATTTGTCTGAATTCAGTTTCCGATTCTCGCGCGAAGCGCGGGAGCTTTGATGTTTCATTAAATTATGAGAAAAAGCAGACGATTCCTTGTACTGTTCTCGACTCTTAATATTTTAAAGCCCTATTCATCTGAATTCAGTTTCCCCCTCTCGCGCAAAGCGCGAAAGCTTTGACGTTTTCTCATGTTATTAGAGAAAGAACACGATTCGTTGTACCATTTTCGACTCTAAATAAGCCCTATTAATTTTGTCTGAAGGAGACGATTCGTTGTACCGTTCTCGACTCGTCTAAATGAAGTTTCCCCTTCTGCGCGAAGCGCGTAATTTTTTGGCGTGTCATCACAATATAAAGAAAGGAAGACGATTCGTCGTACCGTTGTTGACTCTTAAACCTTGTTTGAATTTAGTTTCCACGAAATTTTTTTTAGCTGATATTATAGGAAAGTGAAACTTCTTGAAAATACAAGTATTGTAGTTGTAGTCACTCTCAAAGTCGTCAAAGTGGATAGGAAAAAAAAAAAAACTTGTCGGCCGACCGACAATATACATCTCACCGACTTCAAACTTCTGCATTGATATAGTACACGAGGATCGAGCAAGAATACCGACACAGCTGACCCGACACAGCAACATATTTACCCGTGTCTTTCTTGCTCCCTCGACGAGACGACTCCACCCAACAACCCCCTTCTCCCTTTTACTCCCACTCCTCCTCTCTCAGACTCCTACCTCCCCTCTCTCTCCTCTCTTTCATCCCCCGTTTCTTTTGTTTCCCTTTCACTCTTTTTTCTTTTTTCTTCTTTTCTTTCTTTTCTTTCTTTTCCTTTCTATTCTCTCCTCCCTCTTTTTCTTTTTTCTCGTTCTTTCTTCTCTTTTCTTTCCTTTCTTTTCCTTTCTTTCCTTTCTTTTCCTTTCTTTCTTTTCTTTTCCTTTTCTGTTTTTCTTTTCTTTCCCTTTCCCTCTCTTTTTTCCCTCTCTTTTTTTCCCTCTCTTTTTTTCCCTCTCTTTTTTTCCCTCTCTTTTTTTTCCCTCTCTTTGTTTCCCTCTCTTGTTTTCCCTCCCCCTTTTCTCTTTTTCTCGACGGCAGCGCAATTTTACCGACAATATCCTGACAGGTGGTGGGGTGTCGCACCCCCACACCCCCCCCCCCTTGGCGACGCCCCTGCATGGACTGGCAGCAATGAATTGAATGGCCAGAACTTATGCATGTATACCTTGCGCGTTCTATCTAGTTCTTCTGGTGTGTAATCAGACGCATGTCGATGGAACATCTGAAAAGAATTGAGGAGAGATTTAAAAGCATTTATAAAGCATGTCATCTAAATAGGACACAGTGACCACAAAGAGTGGGGGAGGGAGGGAGGGGGGGGTTGTTTCAGGGGTCCCTCAAGGGATGTTAAGGGTATGGGAAATTCCTTTTTTTGTAATTATGAACTTTTAGAAAAATAAACCTAAACAGATGGAGAGGAGATCATTGTTTTCAATTGGGAAGACTGATTTCTCATACAAGGCGGTTTACCCAGGGTCTTTTTGCTCTTAATTTATATTTATCAAACCTTGTATAGGGAGGTAAATTCTGCAGTTAAATCATAAGACCCCTTTCCTCTTTCCTGCTCTATTAACTTACAAAAATTTAAAACACATTTACATTACAATGGTATGTCCTTCCAACTTTATTCACAAACATGTAGAAGATTTTAAGCATTTATGTCCACTGGTAGAGGTCATAACTTAGATTTACATATCTTGTACACACAAACTGTGAGTTGAGCATTACATATAGATCGTTGCCTCTTACAATATTCAGAACTTCAGACATTTTAAAAATCCATGAATTCGATTCAATTTGCACTAAATGGGTATGGATATTTTCAAATGCTTTTCCAACTTGAAAGGTTGTACTTCTTCCAAGAACAAAGCCAAGAGAGTTTAGATAAAATATTTCATTCAAATTTTGGTTTTTACTCTAATACCCTTTTATGTGATAAAAATGACTAAAGCTTGTGGAGGAAGGGAACAAAGCAATCAGAAAAAGAAAGAAAAAATAATCAATCAATTTTTCTGTTTAAACCTATGAAATATTTTGTTTAGCATGATAAAATCTTCAAATAAACAAGGTGTGCTTTAATAGGTTATGAGGTAGTGGTAGGCAAACTCCTCTTATCTGACTTTGGCTCTCTGCTCACTACAAGTCATAGATCTAATATTATATATTTTTCACCAACGATTCTGTTCTGGATATGTTGTAGTTCCATTAATCAGTCTAGAGTATTTTCGTACAATTCATGTTCAGACTTTGAGGGTGTCTTTTAGTCATACATTTCCTGCAGTTTTACATTACCAATTTATTTGTAATTGAACTTTTTTTGCCACTTTTCAAAACATCTGAAAGAGTTGGGTAAGGATATTAAAAAGCATGTGCCCCAAAACAGGACATTGTGCCCCCCAATTTTATATTTTATATAGACATTTTATAAATACATTTGATTACAAAAATCAGTCAGCCCCATTGGTTTAAGTTTAAAGCCATGTTTTAAAAAAAGGAACGCTTTCCCTGTCGGAGCCATCTGTGTACCTAACTATAACCCAGTGACATGATTAAACGGCTAAAAATGGTTGGAGGACAGAAACAAATTATTAAGGGGAGGTTGGCAGCAATGATCGATGGCTACAATTATGCATACAAACTCTGTTTTCTGCAGATGTGTAAAGAGACAACTCTGGGTAGGCTGGCTTGATCCATGTGAGCCAAATAGGTTAGTATGACCCCAAAGAGAGTCGTTTTAATTATCCCCCCTTGGATATTAAAGGTATGGGTAA